TTCTATGGGGATCGTATTTTCGTGCGATGTCACCAAGGACACAAACTGATGATGGTACGCTGAAACTCTTGGAGTTGCTGATCGAACGCTACGGCCTTGTGTTTGTGGAATAAGAATTTTCATCCATCATCCACAATTTCTCGTGACGTGAACTGGACAAGTTAATTTTCACAAAGTGACCTTCTCGAACGACGCGAGCAATCTGGAGAGCTACAATTCACAGTCAGAAATATCTTTCTCAGGGTGGTCAACTGCTGGAGAGTTTCTCAACTACGTGCCAAGAGAACGGACAGTGGCGTGATCGCCTGCCGGACTGCAAAAGTATGTTGAAGACCAAACTACATCCGACCCCGGTATTGATTGCTGATCTGCTTGTTCTACTGTCTCCCTTGCAGAATTCCGCTGTGGGGAACCCCAAACATTGCAAAATGGATGGATGACGTACTTGTCTGGTGCTCCGAATGAATACCTGTCAGTGATCCAGTATGGCTGTGATCCTGCGTACTCTCTCCAAGGTCACGACAACGGTGCGAGGTTTTGGCCAGATGGATCATGATCTGATGGGTGTTTATTATCGTAGTTATAGTTTGCGCTGGTGTAGACCGACACTATACGCAAGCCTGGAGCCGCCAACGTGTACCTATACGCAAGAAGGTTCCAACATGCTAAAAGCTAAAACCAGAGCATTTTTCGCTATCATTCCATTTGCGCATACCAAAGTTACCAAAAAAATACATTATACCAATACGTTCGAAAAGTAAAGATGTAAAAAGTGTTTAGGAGTTCCAGTATTTTGATGAGGTGCATTTTCCCATCATGCTTTAAGGTAAATTGACGTCAACACCCGTGGGAGGATGGGCGAAATATTTGTAGCATTTAGCCGACACGTGGGTCCAACGTATTTACTGGCAGAAGTCTTTTTGACGCTCAAACCATTTGGCCAGTCAAATATGTTTACATTGGTCGCTCCGCGCGCCCGTACCGCACAGCATCATTCCGCCAACCCCAATGTTGTTACCTTACGAAGTTCAAAATGATGCGATGAAAGGATATCGCTGTTGGTGATGAATTCGCCAATCCAAAAAGGTGACTGAACTAATCCAGGTAGGTTCCCTCACGTACTCTGAGCAGGGATGGATAAA